TGAAATGACTCTGAGAGCCTCTTTCCTATCTAGCTCCTCAATCTTTTTCACCAAGTTATCTTTTATTTCCTCTACCCTTCCGAAATGGGCTTTATTCCATTCTTTTATTTTTTCTTTTAGCCTCTTCAGTTTTCTGGAGAACCCTACCATTTTTAACCTCCCCAAAAGTCTGAGTGCCTCCCACCACTTTAGCCTAATCTTAAAAGTAGGGTCTTCAAACCACATGTTCTCAAATCTGAAAGGATAAGGGCCTCCCCCTGGGATTTCTTTCTCGATACAAATAGGGCAATGGTCAGAGGTAACTCTAGGTAAGCCTCTTGCTACCAAGGATCCCCACATTTCTTCCCACTCAGGAGATATGAGGAATCTGTCTAGTTTGGAGCAGGTTAGGAGGATTGAAAGTTTGAACAAGTATAATCCACCTGAAGCAAGGGGGGGTCTCTTAATTCCAAGGATCTATTAGCCTATTGAATTTCCTCGTGCTAGTAGTAAATCCCTGGTTCGGGTTGTTTGATTCCCCTAAATATCTGATGACATTAAAACCACCCCCCACACACCACGTCCCATCCCGCAATCCCCTAATGGCACATAATTCCTCCCAATCGGCCGATTAAGTATCTAGGGCTTCCTTTGGGAGCCAAGTGCACCTCCTCTCTAGTGTGGAACCTTGTGGTGGATTGTTTAGAAAGAAAATTGGCCTCTTGGAAATCTAAATACATGTCCTTGGGAGGTAGAATCACTCTCATAAAGAGTTCCCTTTCAAATTTACCCTGTTACTTTCTTTCCCTTTCCCAATTCCAACTAAAGTGGCTCAAATAATTGAAAAGCTACAGAGGGACTTCTTATAGAGAGGCTGGGAAGAGAAGAAAATCTACTTGGTCAATTGGGATCAAGTGTGTATGCCAAAAGAAAAAGGAGGACTTGAGATTAGAAAGCTGAAAATCTTCAACAAGGCCCTATTGGGGAAATGGATTTGGAGATTCGGGAAAGAAAGGGAAAGTTGGTGGAGGAATTTAATAGCAGAAAAATATGGCACTGACAGAGGTGATTGGACAACTTTTTCAAATCTCTCCTCCTTGGGGTGTTCCCTATGGAAGAAAGTTATGAGGCGACTCCACTTCTAAATAGCGCTCTGTCCCTTAAACTGAGATCTGGTCACCTGGAAAGATTCTTGGTGTAATAACAGGCCTTTAGATGAATCCTTCCCCCAGTTATTCCAGCTTGCAGAAAATCAGGATGCAATGGTTGCTGACTGTTATAAAGTGGGAGATAACAGTGTCACCTGGATTCCCGGTTTCAGAAGACAAGTGGCTGAGCTATTTCAGTTGCTATCCAATCAGTCGTTGAACCAGATGGAAGAAGACTCTTGGAATTGGATCTGGACTACAGATGGGCTTTTTAAAGTTAACTCCTTTGCTAGGAATCTAGTAAATGGAGATAGAGCCGATATTCCTGCTGAGAAAATCTGGAATCCAGTTCCTCCCTCTAAAGTCAATGCCTTGGTTTGGGCTGTGGTGCTAGACAGAAGTCCCTCTAAAAAGAACCTAACCAGGCGAGGAATCCAGATACAAAATTTGATGTGTGTGTTGTGTGGCCAAGAAGAAGAGGACAACAACCACCTATTTACTCATTGCCCTGTTTCCGTAGAAATTTGGGACCATTAACTCTCCTCTGTGGGTTTATCCCGGGTCATGCCTAACTCTGTGAAGGATCTGCTTTGGTGCTGGGAGCTCCAGGGTCTGTTAAAGTTGGCTAAATGCCTAACTCATTGCCCTGTTTCCTGCAGCAGTAATTTACACCATTTGGTTGGAAAGAAATAGAAGAATCTTCCAAAACTGTTCCAGGGATGTAAATTGTCTAATTTCTACCTCTTTTGACAAGCTAGTTTCTTGGACAGCAGTTGCTAAAGGTCTTCAGGTCAGGCCGTCAGGGTGCTTGGAGCCCAGCAGGGGTCTAGAAGTCTGTTTGACTTGTAATCTATTGTAGGGTCTTTAGGCCCAGTCTGTAGCCCCTTCAGAAGGGTCCTTTGTAATCTTGTGTTCTATTTAATAAAATTACCTTACCTTTTTCAAAAAAAAAGTCCGAACACAAACTAATGAGATGCAGCAACTGTCCAAATGGCAAAACAAGGTTGGCACAAAAGACTCCTAGGTCATATGCAATGAGCCTGCAAATATTCATAGAAAGATAGAAAAAAAAAAGGAACTCTTGGAATACCAGAATAGAGTTTCAAATGTTCATTTCCAAACTGACTTATAAAGGTCCCTCAGGAGCAAGGCTGTGCTAAATTAAAAGCAGTCTTTAGAGTACCAACAAAATGGGGAAAAAATGCAATCCTCAAATTAGATATATAAATAGCTCATAATACAGTTTTTTCTTTTTTTTTTTTTTTGTCTCTTCTACCGTCCTAGAACTTGAATTCCCAAGTATCATTAATCAGACTTATAGAAAGGATCATTGAACAGATCAAATTTGTTGAGGTTATGTTGGTTCCACCAACCCACTGAATGACCCACCAATTGATATAGCATGTGGTGAAAACCATTTCTCTATTACTGCTATATAAAAACCATCAGTATAATGGTGGTAAAAAGATGGTGGGGCAGTCAGACAATTTCACTGCCTAATTTTCAACATTTAATCCACACCATCCATTAATAGGTAGTAGATTGGCTGCTTATCCTACGGATTATAACAATTTTCAAAATACCCATTGTACCCCACGTGATACTATAAATAGGGATCCCTATACCTGTTTGTACTCACTTCATTCTGTTCATACATAATGTATTGGGTTGTACAGTTTAAGTGTGTGGAGGGTCTGTAAGGGTGGGTGCTGGGTAAAGTTCCAGTGAGGTCATCCTCCTGTCCCCATGGACATGAGCAATTTGGACAAACCACTTTAAATCTGGTGTTCTCTTTCTTCCTCTCTTTCTTTGGCTTTCCTTTATTTGTGTTTTCTTTCCTTTTGTGCATATGGAAATTATCCTGCACGCTGCAACACTCCCAACAAGAATGATATGGATGCTAATTTCGGAACAGAGTTTCATCAATTTTATCTCTACAGAAATGTCCCAAAGGTTTATCTCTTGATTGTGAAAATATAGGATTCCTTAAAAGTAATCTAAATTTCTTTCCATTTAGAACTTCCCATTTCGGACCACAATCACCACAGTGCAGGCTCCTAGAAGAACTTGGACCAAGTACCAGCTAATTGAATTCTTAGGACTGTGTCAYCACATTGACTGCAGAGCTGCGATGAATCAATTACCTTCAAGAAACATCCATTTCCCTCAATCCGTAAACCTTCAATAGAGTTGGGTATTTTACTTCGATAATTTTAGTACCTTTCTCATCTATCCAAAGCATCCTCATCGTCAATGAACACATTTTCCCAACCCAGACCAATCAATACMTTTAATACCGATCAAAAAAGATCCATTTATTTCTTTCCTTGCAGAACAGAAACAAATACTAAATTAAAAACAATGATTCTGAACTCTGGCACCATAGACCTCTAAAGCCCGAAAAGAGTCACATAGAACATGCACTGTAAGTCTATATGGTATCAGTTCTGTATCATATCAAAGAGAGAGAGAGAGAGAGAGAGAGAGAGAATACCTGCAAGAACACATCGTCCAGTTCCCGAAAACTCAACTCAGCAGAAGCCAGAGAAGAATCGCTGCAGACCCTGAAAACATCGGGCGAGTGGGCTGTCGCCATTGCTCGTTCCAAGCCCACAAGCCGTCCCTGAACTTCCGATTTCCCGCCAACAGGACAGAAGAACCATAAAAATTAAAAAGGAAATAAATAAATTGAAACCAARCAGCCAGAGTTTCTATATCTTTCCTCGTGTGTCTTGATATTTCTTAAACTACTTTGATTCTTTAAAACCTTTTTATTTTTCTCTTTAGACGCAGAAGACGTGGCGTAGATTCTGAAACTCTTTCTCCGGGCCTCATTCTACCTTTGAGAGTTTGGAAAACCAGAAAGGGGGACTTAGGGACCTACCAGGCTAACAGTCAATTAGTTCCGACAGCCTCTATCCTGCTCTCTCGAGCACATCTCATTTGTCAGTTAGTCCACTAAAATGGCATAATTGGTTCTGGCCTTCTGGGTCGTCCATGCTTTGGGTCCCACAGTTGGTGCTCTGTCTGAAGCTAGGCATGGAAAATCAAGACCGTCCATCTGATACGTGTACTGTACTTGACCACGTTGGACTCATATCGTAGCCTCGTGGCTGCAGAATTCTTAGCGGGTTCCTCTACCTGTCCTTGAGTCAAAGGGGACTCGGTTTGGTGGGAATTGGGTTTTCACAAGATTAAAGCGAGGTCCTAAATCACAGTTCATGCAAGTTTTGGTGTATGCAATTTATTTTGTACCCTTCTGTTGGTTGGCTCTAACCTACATTGACAAGAAACGTGGCAAGTTAATGGCCTCAAATGCATGGGATCTTAGTATTCAAATTACATCTTGGATTAGCCACGTGGCAAGGGATTTCAACTTTCTGTTTCTCTCATTTACAAGCAAACCAAAACATGGCCATTCGTATCTACCTTATTTTCTGTCAATCCAAACATAGTCATATCAACAGATTTGCCACTTCTAAAGAAGTTAAGCGGAGACCCAAAGAATGAAAGAAATATGGGTGTGAGCCTTGTTAATTGGGATATATTAATCAGGGTTGAGTGAAGATTTGAATGGGTAAACCTGCAATGCTATGTCATTGCCATGAAAAGTAATGGACGTGAATTCTTTCTGTATTATTTAGACAACATTGGATTGAAGGATTGATGAACACGGCAGATTTAGCGGATCCCTTCTGATGGAAGGTCTAGATCAACCATAGACTCCTTCACGTGGCATAAATTTGTTGGATCTCTTCTAGATTATTTCCTCAAATTAAGTTGACTTCAAATTTTGGAAGCATTTTATTTGACGAATTTCATAAGCTGAATTGATTGTGGATTTTAATTTCAATTCAGCATCATTTTCTAAGATATGTAGTTATTGACAAACAAAATCAACATTCTATATTGCTATTTGTATGTTATTGCCGGTTTTGGAACCAACACCAGCAATCCATGGTTCTATATTGCTAAGGAAACATGGTTTGCTGATGTAAACATGATATGATGATAACACAGTTATATGGCGTGTCTCATTGACTAATATAGTTCCGTCCAGTGATGATGTTTCTAGTTGATGCATACTGTGTAATCAAAAATAGACATTTAGGGTCTGTTTGGTTTGCAAGCAACAACGGAATAAGAATAGGAATTGGAATATCCAGGAATTAGAGTCGGAATCACCTATTTCTGATGCTCATTTGGTTTAGTCCGGAATCGGAATTGGATTCCAATTGTTGTTGTTTGATCCATTTGGAATTGGAATCAATTGAAAATTTTCAATTTTTTATTATTCTATTTATTATTTTATTATTACTCTATTAATATTTTTGAATATATAATTATTATTTTATTAGTACTTTGTTATTATTATTTCATTTGTATTTAATAGTTATTATCTTAGTATTTATCATTAATTTATTAATATTTTATTAATATATTATTACTAATAATATTTCTACTATTTTTATATATAATTTCAAATACTATTATTATTTAATAATTAATGTATTAGTATTTATTATTACTTCAATTATATTACATTAATATTTTATTTATACTTTATTATTATTATTTTATTAGTATTTAATAATTAATATATTACTGTTTTATTATTATTTTAATTATATTATATTAATATTTTATTTGTACTTATTTATTATGAATATTATTTAATCAATAATATCTTTGCTTTTTAATGTTAATTTGTTAATATTTAATTATAGTAATATTATTTTTATTACTATTTTACAATTTTTTTGTTAATAGATTACTAATATTTTATTATTATTATATTCTTATTTTATTATTTTTTATTATTAATTTTATAATATTTATTGTTTTATTAACATTGTTGTTTAGGGGCTTTTCTCATGAGTTCTTTACTTATTGATGGACTCTAGAATAGGAGTCTCATTCCTTAGGGTGGGGGAGCTAGTACGGGTGTTCACAGGTCGGGTTGGGTCGGTTTATTGAGGTTTTCCCAACCGACCCGACCTGGTCGGGTTACTTGAGGTGGAAATTGAAACCAACCCACTGATAGGTCAAACCGACCTAGTCGGTTTGAGTCGGGTTGGGTCGGTTTCGGTCGGTTTCGGTTTTGTTCCTGTACAAAAGGACACCTAATTGAATTCTAATTGTAATTGCCTAATGGGTTGCCTATTTAGTGTAAAAGACTATAGAAAGTTAGAAACTATGATAGATTGCATATTCTAATTGTAATTGCCTAATGGGCCTTCTAGTTCTAGTAGAAGACTAGTTATAGTTAAGTAGGAAACTACTCAAACTAGGAACTACCGAACTAGTAGAAGACTGGTTCGGTTCGGGTTGGGTTGGTTTCGATTTTCACACAAGAAAACCAAAAATGACTCGATATATCGGTTTATATATTTTTCCAACCCGAAACCGACCGATACTGATGAAAATCCGACCGACTCGGATTGGGTCAGTTTGATCGGGTTGGGCATTCTTATGAACAGCCCTAGGAGCTGGAATGGCCATTCCCCTAAGAAAGAGAATTGGAATCCCATGCCAAACAAATAGTTGGAATTAGAATGGTCCATTCTGATTCTAACTCTAACCACCTATTCCTAGAAACCAAACAGACCCTTATATATATATATATATACATATATACACTTGAATCATACAATCAATGCTCATATATCATGCCAGGGCCAGGCTGCCAGCTCGTGCTAGGGCCAGGTCGGGCCATGGCCAGGCCACCAGGTCGTGCCTGTGCCAGGCCGCGCTTATGCCAAGCTACGCTTGGTGGGACACTATTAACTTAACAAAGGCAAGTTGTTGCTAAAGTAGTCCCGGGTATCACCTATTTATTCTGAGGTGCCAAGTGTCATAATGTCATTGGATGGCCAAATCCGTTCTCATCAGATCTGTATTGTTTCTGTTTAAAGAAAAACAAAAATAAAGCAATTTGCAAGTTACATCTGACCAAGGTCTAGCTGGTAGTTTGCATCCGTCAAAAATTGAAAAATTGCAAGTTGCAATTTGTTCAATTCAACCGTAAAGACTTAAGGCTTGGGGTGATAATTTTTTGCTTTGTCAACAAATTATTTAGCCAATTGCGCCTAATGCTTTAGGCCCAGCCCAGCCCGACATACATACGCATCAAGTAATATGAAATATTATCTATAATCTATGTTCTATTTTTAATTCTAAATCAGTTTGCTTCAAAAAGAAATCTAAATCAGTTTTAACGCATGACGCAACCATTCACGATCAGGTGCCCTCTGCCTTTCAAGAGTTTGAGACCTTTGCTATATCCACTGTTTTCAAAACCGGATCGAATTGGATGGTTAGACCGAAAAAACTGGGAATCAATTACATTTTTCTTCAAAATCGTTTTTTTCTTTAAAACCATTGATTTTGATCAATAAACTGCTGAATTAGCTAGTTAACTGTTCGAACCTGTAACCGGACCCTGACCGGTTGAGTCACTGGTTCGTTTTTAAAAATCATGACTATAACAAACATCTAAAGGATAAACCACAAGTTGGGTATTATATTCAAGTTGTGGGGTTTATAATTTCCATGCTCTATGGCATTCTAAACATGTTTTTGGGTTTCTATCTGCAAAGGCACCAGCTTTTTCAAGATGACCCATCACTTGTCAGGTACAAGCTTTTTCATGGCCGTTTTTTTCAACCAATCGAGTTCTTAGATACATCATTTTCAAACTGTTGTAGTAAGTTTTTTTAATCCACAGACTATTTTCTTCTCCATTTGGCTACATTTTGGAGTTGAAGGAATCATAAGTAGGAAAGAGGTTTTTAGCTACAGTTTGGAGTTGAGAGGGAAGGAGATATAGCGTTTCTGATCTGATATAGCAGGTAAGCAAACTCGACCCTTTTTCTTTTTTATAGAAAATAGTGAATACTTAGGGGTGTTTAACAACGCGTGGTTGATTTTATTTTTGAAAATAAACAAAAATATTTATTACATTAACAAAATTATTTTGTTTTTTGCTGATATAACAATTACTTTTGTTTTCAAAAACAAAACGAACACCCCCTTAATCGGATATTTTGGATGTGCGACCCAGTATCCAAACCAAAAGTGATTTATGTTGAGACAATGCCAAGATTCCTCTAGATCAAGAGTTATGGCCGTTGGAGAAAATTGGATTTATTTCTAAAAGACCGTTGTTGCAATCTTGTAGATTTGCATAGTATAACTAAAAGAGATCTCTGATTGGTGGGGAGCTTTTACTGAGAACTGCAATTGTATAACCTTTGCCACTTTCTTTTGTTGTTTCAATAGTCTAGGAGCTTAGTTATAATCCTAATTTAGTCATAAACAATCCAAAAAATTGTAGTATCATGCTTTTAATTTGGTGGGGATGTTCTAAAGGTGTCCATATTTTACAGAAGTGATTTAATGAAGTAGAGGAAGTTAGAGAAGATTATAATACGACCAGTTTTGACAACGGGGTGGAAGACAAACTAAACGAGTCTATTACCACTCATTTTCAATGACCCATGGGTACAGGATAAACGATTCGTCTTGCACTTTTAACAACATTTTCCTTATTAAAGATCAGTTTTGAAATTACTCTTTTTTATAATTAATATTATTGGTAATAATATTTGTTATTAATATAATAATAATAAATTAACTAATAAAATAAATTAAAAATATTTATCAAAATTAATAACGTATTTATTTTTTTCTATGGGTAAAAAAAAGGTTTTCTATAATTTTACCTAAAAAATAATACAAAAATAATAATAAACCAATAAATGCAAAAATTGACCACCCTCACTAAAGTGCAATTTGGATTATGATTGGATAACTAGACATAACCTACAAAACAATGCTTGAATTGGACTTGGAAGCGCTTTACTTAAAT